GGGTCACTGCTGACACGTGAGAGACGACACTCCCCTAGCTGTTCCTGTGGTAGCAGGGCGAATGTCTTTAGGTGGTGCTGCTATTAAATGTTTTATTGACCTGAGGGCAATGAGAAGTTTAAAAACAATGTTGACTCACACGATAGAGAGAGACAAAAGAAGGAGGGATACAGTGTGAACATCTGCCAGTATCCAAGAGCAGGATTGCTCAGCATGAGCAGTGCCAATGTACTCCTGACCCACAGGCTGACTTTGAACTCGATCTTATCTTAAACCTCGCGCTAACGCCAACCCACAAGGACCAGGCTGGCTGGAGTGAGAATACTGGATCTAGTTTTTACAAACTAAAATGGGTGTTCAGATATTAACTGGAAGAACTCTCTCTCTCAGTGCAGTGTTAATGTACTGGAGTGTCCAGTCAGTGTGTCTGTATGAACTCCTCTCTTTCCTTCTCTTCTCTCAGGTGACAATCGTCCTCGCCGGCTGCTGGTGTTTATTAACCCCTTCGGGGGGCGGAGGTGTGGTCGGAAGATCTACCAGTCGCAGATCGTGCCCCTGTTTGAGCTGGCAGGCATCAGCACACATGTGGTTGGTGAGAGAGGGAGGGACAGACTCTTGGACTTTCTTTATGGTCTGGATTGGAGGGACGGGAGGCTGGTGTGGGGAAGACAGGGGAGGCGGCAGAAAGAGGCTGGGAGAGAAGGGGCAGATGGAGAAGACAACGGAAATATTGAAAAAAACCAGAGCGATAGTTTACAAGACTCCTGCAAATTTCCCAGTTTCAGACTCTCTGTTCCAGAGGCTGGACACCTCTTACTTTCCTGTCTCTGCTAGAAACGGAGAGAGCAAACCAGGCCAGGGACCACATCCTGAAGAAGGACCTGGGTGGGTTTGACGGGTGAGTGAGGGAGGGACGGGGGTCTTCTCACAGGTTGACATTTTCTGTATTCTTTGCATTAACAGTCCATCCTTGTGTATTTCACTTTTCAAACCTAAATGAAAAAACAGTTATTCATTTCAATAATTCTTATTTTGTATTAATTAAGTACAGCCAAAAGGCTATGATGCAATTTAAACAGAAATAAAAAAATCCCACAGGACCACGTAATACAGTTCTGAAATGAGCCTTCTAACCCTAGGGTTAGAGCATTCCCTGCTTATTATTGGTCGATGTGATTTGTCAGATTTAATTAAGTAATCTCTTCTGATTCCATAGCTGACAGATTATCGTATGATATGACAACTGTGAACACACTTGCACTGTGCAACTTCATGTAAAAGCCTTTACATCCACACAGAAGTGTGTATCAGTGAATGACGCTTCGGTGTCTGTGTGCAGGCTGGTCTGTGTGGGCGGGGATGGAATGTTCAGTGAGCTGATGCATGGCCTGATTGGACGGACACAGCTGGAGGCGGGGATATCAGAGCATGACCCCACAGTGACCCTGCAGCCCTGCAGTCTGAGGATAGGCATCATCCCTGCAGGTAGGCCTGGTCCCTGGGGCTCCAGCCTGTGCTGTTGCAGGCACCTGCATAACCCTGCTGTGTGTGTTTGCATCCCTCAGGGTCCACAGACTGCGTGTGCTTTGCCACAGTGGGAGTGAATGACCCCATCACCTCTGCCCTTCACATCATCATAGGTAACCCAGCAGGCCGCTCAGTCACACAGCTACTCTCAATAAAGTTTACTGTGGGATGTCATGCAATAATTGCTTACACTTATGTAGCGCTTTTCTGGACACTCCACACAAAGACTTTATAGCGCTTTACAGGTAATGGGGATTCCCTCCACCACCACCATCCAGCATCCACCTGCATAAGTTTATTAAAATATCGCATTGTTAAATAAGTCATGGCAAAAGAATGGTACATCCTTGGGAAAACAAAGTTAATACATCAAATCAACAAGGTAAAACCCACCATACCCTTTCTGCCTCAAGGTATAATAAATTAGACTGTGTGCAGTGTGAAATCACATCACATTACAGCTTGCTCAATCACTGGCCAGTGACACCGACTGCTCCGTCTCTCCTAGGTGACGACCAGCCCCTGGATGTGTGCTCAGTGCATCATCGGAACCAGCTGGTCCGCTACTCTGTCTCGCTGGTGGGATATGGTTTCTATGGTGATGTGCTGGAGGATAGTGACAGGCACCGCTGGATGGGACCAGTCAGATATGACTACTCGGGTCAGGGAACACTCTCTCTCTCTCTCCCTCTCCCAGGCTCTTTTCTTCTGTCCTGTCTTTTTCCTCCTCTGTCTCTCTTTTCTGGGCTGCCTCTGTCAGAGTCTGCTGATCTGTGTCTGTCATTGGCTTCCTCACCTGTGTCAGAGCAGTTTCTCTGCACATCGGAGAGTAGTGTGTTAACAAGCTCTTTCCTTCTTTCAGGTCTGATGATGTTCCTGAGTAATCGTTCCTATCGGGGAACTGTAGAGTACCTGTTAGCAGACAATCAGACTTCCAGCCCCCGAGACAAAACGCGCTGTCGCTCAGGGTAAAAACCGTTCTGTTCTTGTTAAAAACCCTTCTGCACTACATAAATGCCATGACGTACACAGAGTAAATAATTATTTGCACAAGGTAAATATACCTTTACACCAGCTAGGCATTAGGAAAAAAATACTTCTGTACAAGCTAATTAGTGCCTAGCCAGGGGGGTAACTTTCCTCTTGCCCCGAGCCCCTGTGCTGTGTCAGAACTCTCTCTTCAGTGAGGAATGCTTGTCTGTCCTGGAGTTGAGCAGTCTATCTGTGCTTGCAGGTGTCTGGTGTGCTCCGAGAGTACAGAGCGGCTTTGCAGCCAGACAGATTCTTCTCTGGACACTCTCTCCCAGGACAGCTTCCAGTCTCCAGGTAAGAGCTACTGCTTCAGAGCCCTGAGCACTTCACAGCTGTGCAAAAGCCCTGCCTTGTTTCACCTGCTGCTTCAGTACCGACCGCTCTCTGTGTCTGTTCAGTGGTGGTGTCCAGCAGTGTAGAGGCACTTGTTTCCCCCTTTCTGTCCCCTCCTGTCTGCCACAGCCACAGGATTCAAAACAGGTGTATTGAAATGACAGGGAATCACGGTGCATATAGAGAAGTGCAATACACAATGTAGAGCCCAAGTCCGTATTTTCCTCTTGGTGCAGTGTTAGTGTACACTGCTCATTAATGGCCTCTCTCTGAAGCGAGTTCCAGTGATGGAGAGGGGCAGTGGCACACTGTGGAGGGCCGTTTCCGAGCAATCAACCTGACCTGCATGTCCAGCGCCTGTCCCAAGAGCCCTGACGGCCTGTCTCCTTCTGCCCACCTGGCCGATGGCACCGCTGACCTCATCCTGGTCAGGCAGTGTTCTCGCTGGTCCTTCCTGACACACCTGAGTCGGCACACCAACAACAAGGACCAGGTGAGAGAGGGAGCGGGAGCTAAAAGGTACAGACAGACACACGCACCTCTGGCCAGCTCACTTGGACAGACGCACAGTGTTCAGTGGTGAGGGGAATATGTGTATTAACCCCCCTCTCTCTCAGTGCAGTGTCAGTGTACAG